ATTTTCTGGCCCTTGTAGGATGTGCGTACTAGCAGAGAGCGTTAGGGAACACCAAGATAGGAGCGAAAGAGTGCCATCGAGTAAGAGGTAAGACACTTACTGTGATGGAGCAAACTGTGTTATTGACAGTAGCTGCATGCTATCGCGGCCGATCGGTCTGGCCACGGAACGTCGCACAGCAGGGCTGCGACGGCAGGTCGCCACCACCGGCTGAATTGATCATGTCCACTGTTAGCTGTGGCAACACTGTTGATACCTCGCCAACAAAAAGGCGCATGCGTGCATTCTGACGGATGTACAGGTCAATGAAAAGTGAACCAAGAAAAAGGGGCCTTCATGTCTATCAATGACGTGGCAGACAGCCACTTACCAGTTTGCCTCCTCTAGCAGCCTCTAGCTCTAGGCCATGCTGCCCCAGGCTGCGTAGCACAAGAAGTCTATCAAGGGCAGGCGTAATCGGTGTCATCAATGTTGGCCGTGAGGTTAGCCCAGAGAGACAAAGTCGCAGTGCATTTGCGCCCAATTGTTACCTGAAAAAGAAGAATGGCGCACGTCGGGATCACCCTACAGAAATATTCATCGGTCGCCAGCCTTTCATGAAATACATGACCAGGCACAGCACTTTAGGACTTTGCTACTGAGTCGTACTGACCTAGAGTATTTTCTGAAAACATTGGAGATGGACATATAGCTTTCCTGAGTTGTGATATACAAGTGCGCTCGGAATCGTAGATACACTCCTCGGCTGGGAGTGTATCCACTAGTATACCAGCATGCGAAACGCAGTAAAATTCTCGTTGGAACATTTGCCACTAACCATCGAAGTAAGTGAGACTCAGAATGCTGTGGTAGCAGTCAGTGCCATCAGAACAAGAATGATTTCGGAGCTCACGGCTATGGATCTGTCGCCTGTGCACAACTGCACGCAGTATTGTACACACATATAGAGCACTGTGGAATGTCCAGTTCATTCTTTCATACTATTCTAAGGCAAATAGTCCTCCGAGTCTAGGACGCACAAATACCTATCTGTTCCATCCGAACAGCACAACCCTCTTAGTAATCATTACACGTATCTTGCCCGTGCCTGAGTGCTGATGTACAGTGGCGTGCACACTTGTACAACATTCTAGGATATATTTACTGCCATATCATAGGTAGATATGTAATTGCACACATCTTGACTTCACATCCGTAAGTACTAGTATATCAAGTCCATGGTGCTGAAGCGTACTTCACTGCCATCATAATGTGTGTGTATGGCACCTTAGTACGTGACAAGACTAGAGACAAGACCAGAGCATTCTACGCTGTAAATCTAGTACTTACATACATGATAGACGATTGATAAATTACAGTGTCTTATACCCAGGACGGTACCAATCAGACTGTAGCAAATAAGCATGGGGCACAAGGAACACATGCACTCAACTATCAATAATTAGCATAGCTGTTCTGCCAGACGTTGATTCACGTATAATGCTACTTGGGTATTGCTTGCACACTGTGGATGCTTATTTTTACCTTGCATACCATAGTGTAAACGTCTATAACAGACTGAGCCTGGTAATGCCCAAGTGCACTCTCTAGCTCTGGCAGCATCAGGCTCAGGTATACAGCTCAAAGAGAGGTTTATTGCAGCGTATTAGGTCACCAGATTTCTGCAATGTATCTTTCTTGTGTCAGCTCTCTGAGCATGCGAGACCACTTGACAAACCAGATTTTGACCTGCCGTGTGGAAACACAGGTGGGAACTATTGCATTTGGGCACATCGTTACCAGTAACCTATCTGGACATACAATCTTGTCGTCCGCGTCACGCTGCAACCCGGTGTATCTCAGATCTGGACATTGCCACACCAGTAGAGGTGATACATTGTGGGTCCCACTTGCCTGAGACCTGAGAGCAAGCGCACGCATGCAGTACGTCCACATGTGCAAGTCGGCCGTTTGCCAAACATGAAGTTAAAGTCTCATCAAATAGCATGGCTCGTATGCTTGATGAGATATGTACAGCTCGTTAACAGCATCAGATGAACATATTATCATATACATCAGGCAGACAGCTTATTAGAGCCATCGACCGTTCGCGTCGAGAGGCGTGCTCAATTCTGCATAGATGGGATGGGATGGTTTTGAGCCAGCACACAGTGGCTGTGGCTTTCCCGTTGATGGCGTAAATTATCCGTGAGACATGAATCAGAAATAGATCTGTTTCTAACCCGCCATCCCGCCCTCGAGTCCTGCCTGCTTCCAAAACAAGTAAGTCTATTTTGTACGAAACAAATAGAGGAGGAGGCAACTTGCTCAAGGTGCTGTATATTCTGCAACAGAGAGAGAAGAAAGTGGATTTCTTGAGGCAGGTATACACCACAGCAAGCCAGTGCTTCTTTTTGCTGCGCAGTACTCAGGTGCCATCGACCACTCTGGTGCAGTTGTGGACTCCAGTGCAGTTGTGGACTCCAGTGCAGTTGTGGACTTTGACCGAGTGAGCCTCTCAAAGCTGTTATCCCGCAAGCAAACAACAAACCCATGTCCCGCAAAATCCAAGTAATATGCTCAGAGTCAAGTTATGCCATGGGAGCTATGCAAAATTAGTGAGTCACGCCAGGAGTGTCTGCACTGCACTTGCGAAAGCAGCCACATACTGACCTGCTGGTCGAGCACCTAGTGGCCAACTCCCTGGTATGGCATCCAGCGCTGTCCCCAGCATAAAGTGCGCTAGGATACAGGCCATATACTGGGACCTGTGCCAAAAATTTCTGTTAAGCCAAGCAAATATCTTTCCGAACTAATTGGTGTATTCAGCATGTGGTTGTAAGGCCATGATACTTATTAGCAAGTGAGTTGAGAAATTACATGATTTTACATGAAGGCTTGAATGGTATTGGGGTCAACATTCGAGGTCCTTGAAATCACTGCTATCGTTGCGAGCTCTTTGTGCGATGTGCTCGTTGCGGTACCTGCAGCCTGTCATGGTATATAGGCATATGTCGGCATTAAAGAACCTCTGCCAGGCACCACTCTGTGATATTGACCCAATTCCTCTCTCTCCATTGCATACTGGACAGTGTGTTGCGCAAACTATCCCCTCCACCTCACAGTCATTGTGAACGGTCCCTGTTTGTCTCGTACAAATGGACTTACTTGTTTTGAAAGCAGGTGGAACTCGAGGGCGGGATGGCAGGTTAGGAACAGATCTATGTCTGATTCATGTCTCACGGATAATCTAAGCCATCAACGGGAAAGCCACAGCCACCGTGTGCTGGCTCAAAACCATCCCATCCCATCCCATCCATGTAGAATTGAGCACGTCTGAGCGCAACAATGCTCTCGAAGTCACCACCACGCGTGATGGCCGTGGGTACAAGTACAAAACATATCGTGAGGGCAAGTTCAGTTCTCACGATGAGAGTATATACGCCTCTTGTTGCACGCAGGGACAGTATGAGAGGGCGAGTGGGGCAGAGCGTATCCAGGTGGCAGAGTACATGGCCACTTACGACTTTGCGCCGACAGACTACGCACACGACGTCACATCGGCGCTGGAGGTCGTACAGACAGCACTTGGCCCAGACGACCTGGAAGGCGTTCTGAACGCCACTGAGGATGAGGTGAAGGCCATGTACGGGTCGGAGAGCTATCATGTTGGCGACGAGGAGGAGTGCGGCGGGGTGCACGACCACCTCCGCGGTGGCATAGATATAAGCACAAACATGCAGATTTGGTAAGTGAGACTAATACGAAAGAAAGCCAACATGCGTGAGATGATCAAGCCACATGCAGGGCTGGAAAGCCCTAAGCATCAGGGGCACAGATGTGTGCCCTAGCCTCTTCATGTGCATGTCTGTGATGAACAGGTAAGCAGAGATTTGCAGCACAACGCCATCAAGACCATGACTCACCAGTAGAACTGAACGCCACGACAAATGCCACGAACGATGACTCAAGCTGAAGAGTTGGGAGCCGGTGGATACTGCTCCGGAACCTCGTCAGTGGCATGGACTGTGAGCTGTTGCTGGGAGTGGGGGGCTCTGGCACCTGCAAGCACAGCATACAGCAGGCAACCTCGTCGACAGGGATAACAAGGGGTAGCGGGGAAAACTCTGAGACCGGATCCGACATAGCGTCAGCGTGCAAGTGAGAACCCATGCGTCACACATCGCATCGGACATGGTGAAATTGCGAGATCACATGTAACTACGCAACAAGATTCCTAAATAATGTTTCAGTATGACATAACGCATGAGAGAGATGTGCTTACTAATCCCTGAGACACTCGCCACCATGGACCAGTGTAATCTGTCGATGACGATGGCAAAGGACTGCCTTCGGGAACCTCAGTCTCGTGACCGTGGAAACCGTGCAAATCAATGTTGCTGCTAGCAGTGAAGCCAAGATATCAGTGAGTAAAATGTACAGAGTTTGAGATAACTTACGTGCATGCGTTGGCAAGCTGCTGTGGCTGTGCAGTGGGTGCAACAGGCTAATTGGGCGCAGCGGGCAGAGTGGGTGGCGGACAGCGACTGACGAAGACTAGCAGATTTGCGACTGTACCTGAACTCAGTGCAATGAACTTGGACACCTGGATGAATGAGGCAGACGTACTTGGTACCACCACATGCGTGCGGAAAGTGACAAGGCTTGCAAGAATGGTTGTTGCCCTCTTCTTCTGTATGACGGGCAGAGAAAGAGGGACGAGCCAGAGGGGAAATTGGGGAAGAGGAGGTCAAATGGGCGGAGACAGCCACAACACGCGGGGGTTAAATGCACTCACCGTTCTGTGTGAAAACAAAATTCTGTGGTGGCAGGAACACATGTGCACATCGATCGTTCCACCGATGTAATCGACTACGGGCGGCGCAAGGGCAAACCACCCGGCCCGGAAAATAGCACAGAATGCCTACAGATTATGCAGGCAACTATGAACATGTGAGTAATTTTGCCGATAAAGAATTATCGTAAGGCACACCTGCGTAGCCACACCCTAAGCTCAGTAAATAGCCCTCAGGGTGCCGATGCTTGCAGTAAGCATACACCCTTTGCCAATAGTCAGTCTCGATCACGCATTGTCCTGATCCCCTCTCTGCAATTGCCCATGTCCCAGCTGCCATCCATGCTCCAGTTATCAGTATCTGCACCACAGCTGTCAGACGCGTCCCAGCCATCGGTCGCATCCCAGCCACTGGTTGCGTTCCAGCTGCCGGTTGCATCCCAGCCACCGTCCATGCTCCAGTTGTCGCCAGACACGTTTCAATCGCCGGTCGCTTCCCTGACATTGTTGTCTGTGTTCCAGCTGCCGAGCGCACCCCAGCCATCAGTATCTGCGCCCCAGCCATCATTATCTGCATCCCAGTCACCATTACCTGCTCCCCAGCTGCCTGCCGCACCCCAGCCATCATTGTCGGCGGCCAGCCCACTATCGCCTAGGCGTCAAGTAAATTCTGTCAATATTAATCAGTTTCAAGAGCATGAACAATCAGACAAATAAGATAAGCAGGACAAGCAAGATGGGATAGATGATGACAAAGTTGACAATGCTCTCATTCACGCAATCCGCAAGTCAAAGACGAAGGCCGAGCATGACGCTACCGTCGGCAGCAAAGCCGGCAATCCTGGGAAGTTCAAAGGCGAGATGACCGAGTTTCTTGAGGACTACCGGTACCACTACGACGTGATCCAAGTGATGAAGAAGGGGAAGGTCCGGGCTTTCAAGCAGCTATGGTTCAATCTCCGGGCGAAGTTTTGGGAACGCTTCTCGTTGAAGGATGTCAAGATTGCTTGGAGCGAGGAAGCAAAAGATTGGGAGAAGGAACAGCTGATCTAAGCTGTCAACAACATAAGTCTTCACATTGTAGAAGCAGAACGAAAAGTCTTATAGGTTGTACTAGCACATCAAGGCATGGTACAACTACCAGTACAATTGGCAAAGTTGGTCAAAAGGGTCTAACCCTTTCGAACCGATGCTCAAGGCTCTTCAAAAGCCACTCAGGCCTCCAAAGAAGCCATCGGTAACCCAGATGTACCTGTCCAGCAATGTCGAGCATCTCAACCAGGTATTCACAAGTAGGAATTGTCTGAATCCTGTGGAGACTCTGGCAGAGAGGAATCGGATTGCGAGAGAATTGTTTGAGGTGGAGCCGGAGAACGTGCGGGCGGAATGGGAAGCGAGGGCAGAGGTGAAGTGGGAAGAAGTATCAAAGGCACACAAGGAGGTGAGTAAGGGAGAGCCTTCCAGCGATCCTGCGGTGCAAGCACAGTGAGTCTTTCACGCTGTATGACACCATGAATGATACTTACCAATGTGGTAGAGCACATGACCATCTCGCCTCTGTGCTACAGCCATTCTTCAGCCTGCTTGCAGAATATACTGGGCTTGAGAATTGAACCTTGCTCGCTGGGACTCCACCTAAAGACGACAACGAGAAACAAGACTTCTTAGTAGCAGCAGTAAACTATGGAAAGACAAATGAACTGTCACCCCGCAACTGGTTCCAATTTCACCTGGTCACTTTCAAGACCCAAATCTTTCCTCTCTTCATGGAGTTTCTAGTGGCAACAAAAGGTGATTCAGTCAGTGCATAGTTGCTGGAGTGCTAAACTTACCTATGTCAGAGGGCTATCGATCACCAGCAGACGGTGCCAGAATAGTGCCAGGAGATTGGCACTATCGCCTTCATGACACAGAGCTCTCGCTGCGTGAGGAGGAGGGTGCTGATACTGCTGAGAATGACAGCAGCTCATTCACTGAAAACTCTGTACTGACCGCCAGCTCATCGCGAGTTCCCTGACCAAAGGCAGCGGCTGCGGTACCAGAAAGGGCGTGCCGTGAGCTGCACGAGCTGTTGTTGTTGATGTTGGTGAAAGATAGGAAGAAGGAGATTGCGCGGTTGAATACTGTCGGCATAGAGGGAGAAGACAAGGAGTTTGAATGGGAGAGGGAGAACAACATTGCGAGGCTCAAGCTGCTTCAACTGCAGCTGAATCTCGGAGCTGGACCAACAGGACCAAAGGCGCCAGATGCCACGCGCAGAGCAGGTGCCAAAGACAAATATGTTCCATCAGATCCCGACGACATGCGCCTTTCTCCTTCCAACACTCGCTTGCGGGCTGCTATCTCACAACACAACACCTTGCCCTCATCCTCTTCCTTGCCTTTGCCCTCTTCCTTGCCGACTTCCTCTCAAGTTCTGGAATTGTCCGAGCCCGCCGCACTTGCTCATACCCAGCTGAGCCCCTCCGCTGACGCTGCCAGCACAAACCTACACACTGACAGTCCCATTCAGCAGGAACAGTCATTTTCTGCAGCCCTTGTCGATCAGATCGATACCTCTCTCGACCGTCCTCATCCTAACACAATGGTTACAAATGCCGCAGAGAGCGTTGTTAATGAACAAGAAGACAGCGTCGCCAGGCCGCTAGGACTGCAGGCTGGTGGTGGGAGCTCTGAGGCCATATGGGCTTTAAAGCTCGACAAACTGCCTGACGGAGGATGCTGGATTACACCTATCTACACCAGTTTCGTGCGGGAAGAGATTGTATCTGATATGCAAGCTACGTGGCGGCAGTTGCTAAATGACTGGGTGCAGCTTGAGGCGGCAATGGAGTTTGCATATGCGGTACGCACACTATTATTTGAACTATGAATGTCAAATGTAACACGCTTCCAGTTGCACAGATTTACTGTGGCAGGCCGTCCCAAGAAAGTTACATGGTGGGTTGGGCGAGTGCAAAAGCTCCGGTTTCATGTCGAGCAAAGTGATCAATCCACATACAGTAACCGTTTCACTCAATGGTGGAGTGCATGTAATTCTGAGTGGCGGACGCGCGATGCAGATGGGCATCCTGCGCCTCCAGGCACAGGAGATTGGTCTACAATGCTCATACCCGGTGCCAACGGGATTTGCCAGATTATAGCCTGCCTTGTGAGCTTATCCATTGCAACAGATATCCAGTCGTGGTCCCGTAGCATGTGTGATGTCCACTGGATGGTTGGTGAATTATTAGCAGCAGTTGAGAATGGTGCAAGGTATGTGACCCTCGTTGGACCTCCTTAGTGCTTTCATGTTGCTAACTACCTCAACATGTAGTGTGCCAGCCAAGGAACCATCAAAAGCATTGGATGCTCCTACTGCGAAGGGTCAAAAGCGCAAGGGTGGGGCGCTATCAGTGCCGAAAGCTGTAAAGCAAAGCTGGCGGTAACAGCTGCTCAGGCATTGCCCATGTTATTTTGATGAAACAGTGCTCGCGTATTGGTAGAAGTAACCGCAGATAATCCATTTGTGTACCTGGCAAGTGTATATACCTGCTGGGAGCATGTGAACCATGATATCCAAAGTAATACCAACCGTCTCCAAGCTCACAGAGCATGAGAGCTAAATACCCAGTTTGGCCCATAAAGGCATAGATCTGCAATGTACTGCTTTTAGGCAACCAGTTACTTTGTTAGCATTATGAAATGCCAAGGCACAGTGGAGCTTGAATGCTACCCATATAGAGAAGGCATTAAAGGCAATGTCCTAGATGTCCTCTGCTTGGTTGATGCATTGAACATTGCAGGCCTCCACACCCACTGTTATTGCATGGCACAGAGTAAACTTATCCCATGGTTAATTCATCAACCATGGCCTATGAGGTGGTGAATCGGCATGGACCCTGTTTTGG